GTGGCGTAGAAATAAAGTGTTCTCATAAACAATGCAATGTAAATTAAACAACGCAGATAAATAATTACATTCAAAATTACAACGCAGATAAGATACTTTAGATATGAAGTTCATAATCAGTTAATAACATTTTATAAATATAATTGTTTTCTTTTCTTTTTGAATTTATCCTAACTAATGCACATTATTAATTCAATACTTTTCATATAATCTACAATTACATCTCAAAAATGTTTATACTAAAATGAAAGCAGTATTACTTGAAAAAGAGAGAATTTCAATTAAGAACAATCGGAGCAAGTAGGGACAAAAGTGTCTGTAAAATGTAGAGTGCATGCAGTAAAAACGGCCGACCGTACCACACATCGACGTCAAATGTTTATCACTGAAAATCAGTTATCGCAAAACAATATTTGTTCCGAAATGAACAACACAGAATTTCACAAGTAAAAACGATTCAACATGGATGAAGATATCCACAGACTGCATCGTAAAATGGAAGCACCTAATAAGTCGTTGTGGACTAACCAGTGACGCAGGCAGCCGTAGTCAGTCAAACATCTTCCCCTGTCCCGCTCATTTCTCTGGACCCTACTTCCTGTGACCGTCCCAGAAACAACTGCCAAACTCCGTTCTGTTGTTTCAAATGCCGTCCACGAGGGGCGCCGCACGTGCGCTGCAAATGTTGGGACGTCCGCGTTTGCCTCCTTCCCCATCTCCATCCCCCACCCACGCCCCCCCTCTCCGCCGCCCACCCACGTCATGACCGCAGAAAGAGACAACACGCTCAGCCGAAACACAAAACCAATGAATTCATTCTGACTGTCAGGCGTATATAGAGGATTTCGTCAACAGATGGATTCACAAGTCTAGAATCGACCCCAGGTGGGGGGGGATAATTGAATGGGGGCCAATGATAATCAAGGGTCGATGTGGGTCTATAGTCGAATACGAACCGTGATGTGTAAGTAAATCAAGAGCCTAATGACATTAAAAAATATAAAGAATTGAATTAATTTTTTCTTATAAGACAACAAATACACAAGTATTCTCTTATTCGTACATTGTATAGAAGAAAGACGTGGCTGCAACTGATGCACCACATCGACTACCGAAGTAAAGGTGCCGCGGAGGATATCGGAAAGAATAAAAACAAATCTTATTAATTATCCATTGCTGCAGCCATCTATGTATTGCTGTCTAATTACATTAATCTGTTCTTAAATTCACGTTCCATTCATTGCAGATAGGACTCCATTTCGACTTTCCGCACTGGACATTCCGAACGAACTACTTAAGATTTTTTTTCAGTTTTCTAAACAATGTTTTCTCGACGCAATTCTGTTGTGAAGAAGAGGAGCGAATTCATATATTTATTACACAATCAGTTCCGTTGCTTGTTTTTCTTATATAAAAACTGCAATGAATTGCAGATATGTTTTTGCCATTTTTAAACCCCTCATCACATTTTGTAACTTAACATTGTAACAATTGCACAACAAAAAGTAGTCAGCTGAAAACTCAGCTGATCAGAAGTAGTATCTTCGATTATTGAAATTCTAGAAAATTTCACAAAAACGTACTACGAAATCGTTATCTTTAGACAGTTTATGTTCAATTGCATGTTATAATTAGATATGAAAATTATATGTAAGAAAGTAAGGAGGTAGATGAAGTCAAAATTCTTTATAAAGGGCGATGAACGAAAAAGGTTAGAAACTGGTCTACAGGAGAATTTCATAAGTGTGACGTTTGCCTGGCAAAACCAACTCGTTCCCATTATAACAAGATCCCCATTGTTTGCATTTTGGTAAGTGGCAGGAACCTTCGCAACCTCAAGATGAGATAGCGTTTTAATCCGCAATTATAAACACCTTAAAGTTGGTAAGCAATTACATTAACGTCTTTTTATAAGTTTCTTTCTTTTTTTTATACAAAATTTCATACCGACATGACTTAGATAACTCATTTCGTGTACCAGAGAATGCGCATAACTCTCACTACGTTTCTTCTTCAAACTTTAACATACAATTGCAAAATTGAAATTGTTAAAAAAGTCATTTCTTTGACATAATAAAGCATTCTATTTTAATTACCCATTAGGAATGCAACATATTTTATTTTTGCTCGAACTCATTAATACTGCAAGTCTTCATGGGTGAAGGAGGGCTTTGAATATTTCATATACATTTATTTTGAAAGGAAAAGACAGTTTTCTGGAATATCGATCTACAATTCCGATAAACAAATCACAGGGTTGGTTCAGAGTGTTGATACAACACAAAAGTGTACGTGGAGTATAATAGCAGAAGCACAAATTCCCAAAGCAAGGGGAAATATGGAGTGATGAAAGAACAGAACAAAAATACGTAGTACTTTCTTCTCAGTAAATATTGGCATGCACAAAATGGAAGTGGAAATAATTTTTGAGAAAAAAAACAAACAAACAAACATAAAAAATCTCGGAAACTTGCAAAAGAAGGAAACTTGATGTACGTATCAGAATTACTTCCGTCTAGAGGGGATAATACACGATATTTGAAGTATGGGAAACTATGTTGATTGTAATAGGTAATGGTATTGATTTATTGGTAACTGAAAAGGGAGCAGAAGAGGAATAACAAAAGGGGGAATAAAAAATAAAGGAGAAAAAAATATAAAAATAAAAGAAGAAAAAGATAAAAACCAAAGGGAGAAAAAAGGAGAAGAAATAAGAGAAGTAGAAGAATATATAATATATATATATATATATATATATATATATATATATATATATATATAATATAGAGAGAGAGAGAGAGAGAGAGGAGAGAGAGAGAGAGAGAGAGAGGAGAGAGAGAGAGAGAGAGAGAGAGCGAGCGAGCGAGAAGAAAATTCCTGTCATTTTTATTGTTGTCGATGTCGTGGTGGTGGTGGTGGTGGTGGTGGATGTTGTTTTGGATTTTCGGAAGGTGTCCCCCTCCCCAAACGCGCGTCCCCGGCCCAGTGCCAGCCGCGGCCAAAAGTCGGCGCGCGTTTCCGCCTCGGGGGCGAATTCCGTCCACGGGCGTCGCTTCCCGTGAGCGGCCAGCGGCAGCCGCCCAACTTTATTGTTTCAAGATGCCTTCCAGCGCGACCTCCGCGCCGCGCCGTGCGCACGTGGGGTGCAAGTGGCCGCTGCCGGCGCCCAACCCCCGCCGTGCCGCCGGCAGGCCTCTGGGCGGGGCACGGCCCGCGGGCTGAGGGCCTAACGAAGCGCAGCTGGGCGACAGCGCTGGCACGCTCGGGGCACCCCCATCCCGCAGCAGCACGCTCTCTGTTGTCACTCCTGCCGCCATTGTCCCCGCAGTTACAGCCGCTTTCCGTTGGAGTTTGCTGTGGGGACGTAATATACTCATACGCGAATTCCTATTACATAAAAAGTATCAAAGCTTGAATCATTTATATCAACTTTTTATAACGATATTCATGGCTGGTGTTAAATGATTGCATATAAGGAAAATTTACATTTCAATTATCGTTCAAAATTCAGATATATTTACTGTATTGAGTTTTGCAAGATTACAATATAAAATGATGAATTGGTTTATGGAAAAGGGAATATATGCGAAAATGCTGATGAGAGAAAATTCCTTTCGTGTTTTTGATAGCTAAATAACTTCTATGTTGGATTTATGGACATATTATTCATAACAATATTGTTGTAGACTAGACCTAAGTATTCGGTTCTTCGCTAATGTAGATAAGACACTAAGGCTTGTTATGATTTTGGAAAGTTTAAATACTATTTTTAAATAAATCCAATGCATGTGAATTAGCCAAAATAATATTTAATACTTCTTAACTATAATTCAAAAACATGATTCTGATAACAATAAACAATAGTCTGGAAACAATGAAAATGGTGCAGTTGAGATTGCATTTTAACATTCCTGTTCAAGTTGGCATTAACCATAAAGGCTTTTACATTTCCCGCAGTAACTGTTTAACCTTTCCATAATGTACTGTCAATTTCACATTGTATTTTAAATATTATATATGACCAGGGGTATGAATATCACTTTTCAAAATAAGTTTTAAATCTCTTTTTATAATATCGTCGTCGACGATAGAGCACCTCTATGTAAAAAAATAAAAAAAATAAAATAAAACAATAGAATTTTACAGGAGGAAAGAAAAAATTGTGGTTGATGTTAGTAATGCACAGTTCGCTAAGCTTAGGCATTCTACACTTTCTATATCACAGTAATAAATATTTATTTTTTGTAATATTTTCCAGAAAGCTCCTTACCAAAACCTCCCTTGTGAATCTTACGGCGTACGAGATATTCTATCATGAATTAAGTGTAAATGTTACATAGGTTTTTATTTTCTATTTTAAAATTATAATTTCTTCTTTTTTGGAATATTTTTATCAAACTAAAGAATAAGCAAATTGATACCACAATGTAAAAATCTCCAATTTTCACTTAAAAGGTTGCCCATTATCAACAACAAAATATTATAGTAACGCGGGTATGTACGAGTATTCAGCCATATTACTTGTTTTACACAGCATTGATAGTCAATATTATTATGCCATCTTAACACATTTTCTTGTTATCTAGGGCCTTTGAAACTATTTTCTACCTAAAATATCCACTTTAGAAGAGAAATTTTACGTAAAATACAACAAGACCTGGTCGCCAAGTCGTACCGCCGCCATTTACCATCCAAGCCGTTCTTGCAACTACAGTGCCTACCATCACCCCCAATCGTCACCGTCATCTCTGCCTACGATGCCGCCACCCCACCTCCTGTGCCGGGGCGACCCATGTCCGCCTCTGCGACCGCGCCCCGCCCGGTACGGCACCCGCCCGGCATTGTGTGCGCCCCAGGAAGCGCGCTCGGCGGCGGCGGCCGAGGCGGCGGCGGCGGCGGCGGCGGCGGGCGGGCGGCGCGATGGTGGCGCCCCGCGCGGCCGGGCGGGCGAGCGGCGCGGCGCTCGAGCGAGCGGGCGCCCCGCGCGCCAGTGTCGGCCGTGCGCTGCTGGCAGACGGACGCGCGCTCTCCCTGCTGCGGCCCAGCCCCCTCCAAGTCCTTCGCTCCTTCGTCGCGCGTCGCTATGGTAACCGCTGTTGTTGGTGCGTCGCCCTTCTTCTCCGCCTGACCCGAGTGAATCGGACGAACTGTGTGACGACGAGTGTCAACCAGAAAAGGAAGCAGGCATTTGTTGTTGTTATTTTAATTAATAAGAATTGGTACATAGAACGGTGGTGACGGCCGACGGTGGCGAGTGGTGCTTGTCAGTGGTGGTTGGTGCGAGGCGAGAGTGAGACGAGTTGTGCGGGACGATGGCGCGTGCGTGGGTGATGGTGCTGGCCCTGGCGCTGACATTGGGTGGTGCCGCGGCGGGCCCCGTCATGCTGAAGAACGGCGGCTACGAAGGCATCGTGGTGGCCATCGACGAAGACGTGCCGGCAGACGGCTGCCGCAACGTGCTCAACAGTCTAGAGGTAAGTCCACGTGCGTGCGAAATCCGCGGCAGATTGCGTGTGAACGCGACGCTCGTGTGTGGGCGGACGTATCGTCTTCCGCCGGCGGGCGGCGGGTCGACGTCCAACTTTTTTTCCCCGTGGGTGACGCCAACTCCGCCGTAAGCAGCAGAAGGCGACTGCTGCGGAGGCGGACTTTTCTTCAGACGAGCCCCACGCAACTTCGCGAAGCGGTCGCGCGGGGACTTTTAAATATGTGAACAGCGCGCCTTCGCCGGGCGGTGGGTGGGCAGGAGGGCGCCGGGCCGTGCGGGGGCGGTGCAGCGCGGCACCTGCAGCGGGGCGGGCGCCCCTGCGGCCGATGGGGAAAATCGTTAGGGGGCGGCGGCGGCCTTCGCGGGGGCCGCGATGTAAAAATACGCGGAGGCGCTGTAAAGAGGCCGCGAGGCGCGAGCTCACGCCGCACGCTACGGCGCCCAGATGCGGAGGCGCCCCGTCGCCGCCGGCCGGTGGTCACGGTGCGCCGATCGACCGGGGTCGCAAATCTGTCAATTTCTCGTATGTTTCATCATCCCACTCTTGGCAATGAACCTACGAATTTCAGATCCTGGGTTCGTGGGGGAAAAATTGGATTTAGGACTTCGCGTTTGGAATACGCGAAATTGGAAATGTCGGATGGGAATCGGACAGCCCCGTTTAACTAATAGTTTACTTGTAGTGGACGTTATTCGTTTGTGAAATTAGTAACATCCACTAGTCACATCCGCTAGTAACATCCACTTTCATGAGAAGTGTTGGAAGTTTAGTTTTGGTAGTCGTTTTGCGCCCGAGAATCTGAAACGCACAACATACGAGTCCTCTAATCATCAAGTAATTACAGCCCATAAATTACGACAGCCGAAATATTATTTGCATACAGTTTCCGGGCGTAGGAAACCGTGAACCGCGACCGCCGACGTTTTCGGAGCGGAATGAACGGGCGACCGGTGCGCGCCCCCGCTAGCAGCCGGCGTCGCGTCGTCGAGTGCCTGCGGCCGGCGGGCAGGCGCGCGGTCTCGGTGGGCGATCGCCCGGCGAACCGCGGCGCGCGCCGTGCTACCGCCCCGCCCCGCCCCGCACCGCACCGCGCCGCGCCGCACCGCGCCGCACCGCGCCGGGCCGCCCCGCATCCGGTAGGGGGCGGCCCCTGGACGCTGCCTCTTCCGGTTCCTCTCACGGGCCCCTCGCCCGGACGGTCTGCTTGCCGCGCGACGCCCCCGCGCAGGTTTTGTTCCGCGGAGGGAGCCGGAGCCAGACCCAGGCCGCAGTCCCGTGCGGTGCGGGTTAATTGCCCTGCGCGCCTACGGCGTCAGAGCGGCCGAGATGGGCGAACGCTTCTGGAAATCACCAACACTCAGAAATATTGGGCACAGGCTCACCGAGTTAGGGGAAATTTTTGTGAGTTTAAGTTACATCTGTGATTTATTTCTGACAGAGTAGCTTAACACTAAGTTTTACTAAAGTATGTTGCTTTTCTCAGAAACAAACATATCTAATACAACAGCCATTCAGAGTGAATGTTCAATTGTCACTACATACTTCTTGTTGGTGTATATCATGCCATTATTGATTTCTATAAACTCATTTTATTTCAGGCAAATAAATTCCCATCTTCAGGTGCGTTAGGTATCGACAACCACAAAAATTTGGAATTATTAACTATCCACTTTCTCGTTCCCCCTTCTTCCCGTGTCCGTCTCGAGTTGCAACTCCTCTGGGTCGCAATTTTAAAAGTTCATGCTTTAATCAGGGCCGGGTCGCGTCGCAGGTTGCTGGCGAGCCGCGGTACAGGGACGTGGTCCGACGGCGAGTGGAGAGATTCGCTACGCCCGCGACGGCGGCCAGACGCCGCTTCTGGTCAGGTCGGATCGGGTCGGGTCGAAGTTCGGAAGGAAAGCGTCTGGACAGTTGGCTCCGTAAAGTACCTCTCGTAGTGAGCGAGAGGATTGGATTACTGGGCATTACCGAGGAGTCATTTGAATGAATTACTGACGCGAGATGACTCACTGTACGGGATATTTCGTTAGTCTGGTTACCATCTGTGGTGTACGTCTGAATATGAAAATGTAGTTTCTATTTACGGTCCTAATGTGCTATATCGTATATTCTCGTCTGGAGATTCAATGACAACCGTTTACATATTTGTGTTTATCGTACGGTTATCGTCTGGTTGTTTAAAGAACTTAAACTCCAGTTGTGATGGACTATTACCTACACAATACCTCTCACACCAATAGCATCATTTTCACTTTCGCTCTTTCGGTGCATTAAGTCTAACCTACTATGCGTTCGTATTTCTCTAAGTACACAATTTCTTGTAGCGAAGCGTTTTCCAAGTATTAGATAGAATTAGTGTCCGCAGCTCATATGTATGGTGACGTTTTAGTTGAAATTACACAATGGCTATATTATAGTATGAGGCAAGAATGTAAGCAAACTATGTGTTAATGAGGACCATTCACAATTCATGGAATTGCATTGATGTTTTCCTGGAACACAACAAAAGGTTTCCCGTTGATAAAAATTGACTATTTCTCAATGGCACCCCAGTTCATGGAAACATTGATTTACTTTCCGATTCTTCGACACTTGTATTCTGCGTAAGATAGTATCGCAGGCGCTGTGTTCACGAGAAAAAGAAGTGACATTCAAAAACACAGCCTATTAAAACCTCCGCGTTACAGAGCCTCGCACGCAAATTCGATGAACTGTAGACTACGAACTTCATGTTCATTCATGACACAAAATAATGAATGTGTGAAAAGAACCTTCCGTTCAAAGACATTTTCTGAAAGTCATTGTGAGTTGAGATACTGCTGACAAAATGCACCCATTGAAAAGCCGCATTCAAAGAAAGTTCATTTCTTCTTACGAATTTCATGATAACCTTAACTCAGAGACATGCGTCATATTAATATCACATTATACTGATACGTTACCGTCCTATTAATCGTGTATGGTTAAAAATATTAAAAATGTTCTTTTTTTGTGTTCTCTCCGCAAAATCAATGTTTTTTGTCGTTCAACCCCAAACGAATTTTCGATTCACTTAAGCCTCTGAAGTACTGATTTTCAATACTGCGATGACCGTGGACGTCAGAACGTCAACACGAAGATTTCGTTATGCCCGTAAAAGTGCTAAATTCCCATTTCGCGTGCTCTACAAATTCGCGCATGGTACGCCGTCAAAATCGCATTCGTCGCGAAACGTCATTACCCGAAACATTGTTTCACTTGTGAGTATTGTGCGCGCCGCATCGCCCCGCAGGGGCCGTAGGTGTCCGCCTCCGCCCGCCGGGAGCGCTCGCAGCGTCGCACTCCGCCCCGCCCCGCTTCGTCCCACCCCACCTCGCCCCCATCTGCCCCGTCCCGCCTCCCTCCGCTCGCCCCGACCCCGCCCTGCCCTTGCATCACTCTCCCGCCCCGCCCGCTCCGCCCCGCCCCGTCCCGCCCGGTTCCGCCTCGCGCCGCCGCACTTTTCGTCGTCGCTCTTCGCAGCCTGCGCGCCGCGAGCCCGGATAAGCCGCGCCGTCGGCGCGGCGCTATCAGTGTGTCTTCGTCGTGGGGCGGGGCGGGGCGGGGTGCGTCCGCGAGGGTGATGTACGGCGCAGGGCGCTATCTCGGGCAAGCGGCCGCCCCCGCCGCCGCCGACCCGACGTCCTACGCGTCCTAACGCCGCGACGCTCCCGTGGCCTCTTGGGACACGTAGCACACGACGCGCGCGCTTGTGGAGGGACTTTGCGGCCATAACGGCGACGGGACGTAACGTTGCGAAAATAAGGGCAGTAACTTGTGTCCGGCGGGGTAGCTAGGAGGCGTAACGCTACCGCAATGCGGGGGGAGTTAGGAAGTCTGGCGATGGAAGGATTGTGGAATTCATTTGAGCTGCTTCTGTTTGTAAAACGAAAAATTTGTTTACGAACGACGAAATTTATGATTTCATTGTAGAAGTACTATTTATGATTGCAATCGACGCTCCAATTATTTCAATGTTAATAGAATTGATATTGTTACATCTCATCGGTTCAAACGTATGTTTCCATTCAAAGGTATGATCAAATTATAATCTCCAGAACATAAGCAATGTTTATCTTCGAGTTTAAAGTGCAAAATGCGTCGATGAAGTCGCAACTACAATTGTAGGTGCGTTTCCCTTTCCTTTTGAGGCTGAACTCTGAGCTTTTCTCGAGCTAGTCTTCTTCGGAACTTTCAAGCAGAAGTTCTTGAGTTTACTCAAAGCCTGCAAAAACAATCTTCTGAATGTTAAACTATTAAAAAGACTCTAATTTGGCATCAGAACGTACCGTTTCGAGAAAATATACGAAAACTTGCCAGTTTGTGGTTACATTACGTCGGAGCAGTTCAGTGAGAAGTGCAAACTTTAAAATTCCGAACACCAAGGGTTTCATATCGTTTATTCATTGACACAAGAAGACAAAGTGTTTTGCGTGCATAGTTCAAACTTTACTTTATAATAAAACTTATCGGTGAAGAATATTGTGCATTTAACGAAGAAAAATCATGAGGCAGCAGCTCCTTGAGCGAATCTAATGATCTGCTGACGGTATCTGGCAAAGTAATGAATAAAGTGCTGCCTGCAAAAGAGGCGAGGGACCGTATGATCCATCACGAGCTGCAAGCTAAGTGGATTTGCATTTAAGTGATGAAGTTTCGCGGAAAATTAGCACGACACAATAGACGACCTGTATTAGTTAGGCAAACCTAAACGTAAAGTTCTGGAAATTACGGTCCGGGGACCATTTAAACAGAGTAAAATAAAAATGCAAAGTAATACTACGCAAGCTACTAAAATTGACTGCCGTTTTTACAAGGTTCATTTTACAGCATTCGCAAACGTTCTGTAAACAACGCAATTAGAAGTTTTCGAGCTAACTATCACTATTTTTAACACGATAAATCGCTTCCAAGTGGATTTTTTTCTCGAACAATTCTCCGTGCGAGCGTTGTTTCTCGTCCCTTCT